CTCCATGGAGAAGACGCGCGTGGCTGCAGCCCTGAGACGCTCGCACCTTACACTGGACCGCGACGAAGGTGCTGGAGAGAGCGGCGCATATGGCCTGTGTGAGAGCGTGTGCGGAGGTGACTGCATCATCTTGCCTCCAGGACCAGCGTTCTCTCTCCTGTGATCAACTGGGAGCGGGTGAGGCAACTTTGGAGCGTATGCCTTTGCACCAGCCACCCTAGAGACAGCTCGTCCTCTCAATGAAAAGGGGTCACGGAGAGTTGGCGACCTTAAGCAACTGTCTGTGTGCGGCACTGGGGCCAGATTCAAGGAACGTAGGGGGGAAAAATATTTAAAACAACACTGCGTTGGCCGGGAATCGAACCCGGGTCAACTGCTTGGAAGGCAGCTATGCTCACCACTATACCACCAACGCCAACGGTTCTCCCAGCTCCTCCGTGTTACCTAAGACTTAGATACCGAGGTACGGTTGTGGCCTGTGTGAAGTAATTACGGACCTGAACTGGGGTGCAGCCAAGGGTCGCCAGGAACGAAGCCAAAGTAGAAGTAATGTCCGTTGTTTCCGGAGCACGTATGTGTGAGAGGCTCGGCTGCCTGCACGGCTAGTGCGCTCCCCTTGAGCCTGGTTATACTCAGTCTACAGACGCTAGACCCAGGTAAAGGGCGTCTAGATAACGGGGCAGCTAGTAACTGGCAGGCCGGAATTCAGTCTAAAATCCGTCTAGAGTGCCAGAACCGCAGGGACACCATAATGGCTTTATTATCCCCAGAAATAAATCTCAAAGACATATAAAATCGCTTCTATATTGCGTGAGCTCAGTGGGTCTCGCAGTTAAAGAATTGGGCCTTAAACCAAATGCGCTTAAGCACAATTTGTCCGGGGGAGGTTTAACTCCTAAATGCGCGCTCATCTAGCCCACTGGCTGCTCGGAGAATCAAACCGACAAAATCTTCGGGGCGTGGCTTTCAGTGTAAACTCCGCCCCTTGTTGCTTACACTGTTTCTGTTCTCCAAGCCCGTCAAAACCCCTTACTCTCTGGGCCTCTAGGCGCAGTGGTCATGCATCTGCCTGCAGATCGGAAGTCTGCAGTATTCGAATCAAGTCGAGTCGAGGTCACACAAGTCAAATGTTTACAGTATCTAGTAAGTTTTCAGTGATCATTTTCCGGAAAAGGGGGGGGGTGGTTTTATTAGATAAGAAAAATTTAAACCTCATTGTAAAATTGGTTTTATTAAATAAGTAAAATATAAATCTTGTTTCTGCAACTTTCTTTACTAAAGTGTCTGAATTTTCTCCTAATTTTAGGAATTCTAACACAGAAATTGTTCATGAATAGGCCCCAATTCTTGTTCACAAAATATAGTTGGAGCAATAAATGTTCTATATTGGAAAGAACATAACAATAATGAATAAGTTTAAGGTAATTGTAATTTATACACATTGTGCTAAACCAGGTTTAAAATTTGGTGATTTAACTTCCACTAATGTCCATAATCTTACAGTCCAGTATTTTTAATTATCATTGTAATAGAAATATGATTCCATAGACCTTATAATTTTAATGATCACCTAATATTCTATGACCTCTGTAAGCCACAGTCGTTCCCCTTCTCCACAGTTTTGCTTTCTGAAGAAGGTTATAGATACCCACAGTCAACTGTGGTCTGAAAGTAATAAATGGAAAATTACAGAAAAAAATCATGTTTTAAATTGCCCACAGTTCTGAGTAGTTTAATGAAATCTGGTGCCACCCACTTTATCCCTTGGGGATGTGAATCATACTTTGTTCTCCCTTGGTGTCTGAGGGGGATTGGTTCCAGGATCCCCTGGGAAACCAAAATCTTCAGATGCTCAAGGGTATATAAATGATGTAGTATTTGCATATAACCTATGTGCATTCTCCCATATACTTTAGACCATCTCTAGATTACTTATAATACCAAATATAACGGAAATGTTTTGTAAATAGTTGTCATACTGTATTGCTTAGGGAATAGTGACAAGAAAAAGAAAGTCTGTACATGTTCAGTACATACAACCATCTTGGGTCTAACTACATAGTACATAGTGACTAGCCTCCTTGGAGTTTCTTTAGCCCAGACACACAACTTGCTTTACAGCCAGGTGGAAACATTTTACACTTTAACCAAATGTCTGTGAAGCGTTTTCCCATGCCTTATCTCATTTGATACACACAGAAGTCCTGGAGTAGGTAGATAGGAGACTCAGTGGAATCCTATTTTCTTTTCATTAGCCGGAAAACGGGGATTTAGAAAGCTTAGAAACTTACCTGACTGGATCCCCGTAGGCCTGGCAGAAATCAGCAGTCCAACATCCCCCGAGGGGTTCCAGATTGCGAGAGGGCGCATTCCAGGCTGAGGAACCCCAACCAGTACACGATTCCTTGCACTGGGCCTCTAGTTTAATATGGCTAAGTTACTCGTGCATGCACAATACATATAAAGCTCTCACTGGCGCCAATCACATGCATGTGTTTGCATCTGTCATTGTGGATTGTGAATTTGGTTGACACTTTTATTATAGAGAAAGGGCAAATAGTGATACTAAAATATTTCTTCTAATTGATTTCCTTTCAATGTGCATGAATTCATACACTGGGCCGCTAGTTATTTTATAAGGAGATACAAAACAGTAAGTTTCTAACTCTGTCTTTGCTTCTACATTTATTAGTTGACATTAGCTCACGAAGAAGATCTTTTTCTCATCCACTGAGGCCAACTGATTTATTAATAATAATAAATCATAATAAGTCATAATAATGATAAACATTAAGGGCTTACTGTGGTAGGCCCTGTGCTGAGTGCTTTAGTGACCTTACTTCATGAAATGCTGACAGCAACCCTGCAAGACACTATAACTATGCCCATGTTAGAGCTGACACGCAAAAGAATTGAGCGTTTTGCCAAGCAACGCAGATTGTAAGTGGCAAGGCCAGAGGCACCCAAGCCCATAGTCTTTCTGCTACGTCCTGCTGCATGCTGTCCCCTCATAGCTCATCTGATGAGTGACTAGGGGAAGGTCAGGGGCCCTGGGAGAGAAGCATGGTTGTCAAGTGTGGTTTATGGTCTAGGAGAGCTCTGGGCGTTATTAGTGATTAACCAAATCCAGCCCACAGACTTGTTTGGTGTCTTATTTGCCAACAAATAATTCAGTAAAGTTCACATGTAAATCTAGTTTTCTAGCTTCTAGTTAGAAACTGAAAGTTCTGTCCATACTTAGGCTACACTTCCACATAGTAACAATCAACTAGTGCCGCGTATTCCCTTCACCGTTCAGGATGTACTTGGCCGCATTCCCCACCCCTCCCTGTTGCTTTCCCAACACTAAGAACCTATTGTGAGGCATTGTGTCTGGGTAGAATACGCTTGATAAATTCAATACAGTAGCTCTGTCCCCTGGAGTCTTTAAATTACTGCTTGCACATTATGTCAGAAGATATTGGGCCTTTCAGGGTTGTTTTATGGC